TCCATCGCGCGCATCCACATTGCCACAGTAACAGGAGCATTCAACTCCTTGTCGTTCACCCGAAACTGACCCACGACTGGGTCAGGTGCCCGCTCCTCGTCACATATCGAAAGCTCCATCTTCACCGCCGCAGCCCGGCTCTCAACAGCTTTTGTAACCTCAAGCAATGTCTGCCCAAAATCCTGGAAAACTGTTCGCTGCAGATAGTTTTCCCGCACCAACTGGTGCACCGCCTGGCCGACGAACTCCATCTGCTCCCCCTGCGAAAACTGATTCACCTCCAGGGGCATGTCCCCTCTAAATATCGCGTTAGCTAGGGGCAACAGCCCCGTCGCAAAGGTCACGGGGTCGGGGGTCTCATCCCTGAAGCCCGGGGCCGCCGAGAGCACCGCCCGCAGCGCCTCCCGCGCTGGCAAGGCCTCCGCCTGCTCGCTGAACGGGCGATCTCTCAACCCCTCCGGGATCGGATTGGTCCTGACCATGGCCGCCGCCTCCCGGATCTACCCTATGCCCCCCTTTTCAGAAAGAATTTCGCCGGCGGGCTGCTTCAGCAGCGCCGGCCAGATAAGAGCATAAGGAGCGAGTATCGACTGAGCTGCAATAATAAATAACAGCTCATTCTCTCTCTCTCCTCTGGGCGCTACTTTCCTGGCTAATCGAAGATTACCTGTACAAACCTAATCCTAGTTTCGTAATAAAGTCATTGTTGTCGAGCTACGAGTCATCGTAAACGAGCTAAGCTTCAACTCGTGGGGCAGCCATCGCCATGGGCAGCCCCGGCGAGTCACCCCCCCCCCAACGCATCGCACCGGAGCCGCACCACACATCGATCGAAGGGAATGCGCAGCCCCACGCGCCGCCGCGCCACGCGTCGCCGCGCCGCGCGCCGCCGAGCGCCTGGCGCCGCCGCCCACGCGGCGCGCGATGCTCTGGCACGCGGGCGACAACACCGACGACGCGACAGTGCCTGGAGCATCGACGACGGAATAGGACTGGCCTAATTTCCCCACGCGCGCGCGCGGCGCGCGCGCGCGCGCGCGCGCGCGCGCGCCGCCGCCGCCGCCGCCGCCGCCGCCGCCGCCGCCGCCGAGGAGGAGGAGGAGGAGGCTAAGGCCTAGTAGCTAGCCCTGCGCGCCTTACCACGTGCCGGCGGAGCCCAGCTCGTCCGCGAGGGCGAGGCCGTTCGCGAGCTCCTCCGCGCCCGGGTAGTCCGGGAAGCATATGATGTACGCGACGCTGCCGGCCGGCCTTGGCCTTCGGGGCCTTCACGTTCCGGACGTAGCCGGTCCAGTAGACGCCGTCGCCGTTGTCGTCGCAGACCATGGCGACCTTGCGGCCCGGCCCGGGGCGGTGGTGGTACATGAGCGCGTGCGATTCGATGTTCTTGAGGTACCACAAGGCGTCGCGCTTCTTCGCGCTGCCGCTGCCCTTGTCGGCCCAGTTCGTCTTGCGCCCAGTCGCTGAGCAGCAGGACCCTCGGCGGCGAGGCAAAGCTCACTAGTGGAGCTCGAGCAGAAATGCAGAGCTCTCATTGGTCGGACGTATCTCACTGCAAGCAATTCATTGTACAGAGCATGGCCCCACGATCTATGAAGCTGGGTTTGGCATGTTATGCTTCACGGGGGAAGAAAACGAGAGCACTTCGCCGTAGGAACTCGGGCTCGGAGACCTCGAAACTCCAGTCCGTGTCGCGGGCGAACACGCAGAAGCCGAGATCACTCTTGCCCGCCCCCCTCGCGTCACGCGTCGCGCCCCCACAGGGCCGCTCAGCTTCTGCAGCCCCTCGGATGACATGGAGTGTTTTTTCGAGACCGCCGACCCCGGGTTTCTACTGCGAACTACCCTCACTTTCTCCCTCGAAGACCCGGAACATGCCGAACCCAGCATCAGCGATCGTTGACAGCCATGCTCGATAGCAGTAGCTCGCCTGCAGTGACCGCCAGTCGTTGATCTCATTATAGTGAAGTTATTCTCATCGAGTCAGCGGTTGAATTCATCGATCTTCACTAAAGCCAAAAGTTAAATATTTCTAGGCGAGCTCGACCATCAAACCGGATAGCGAGCCGGCCGCCAGCAAAACCCGCAGAGTTAAATCTTCGTCGATTTACGCCGCTTCAACGTCGCCCAGGCGGCCTGTCAGCAGGGCGTCGCTCGTGTCGCCAAGGGCTGCCCATGTCGTTCATAGGCTTGCTCGCCGACACCATGGCCATGGTCGACAGCTCTGACGACGACGAGAAGGCGCCGAGCCGCCAGGGCCAGGGCCCGCGCGAGCGCCAGCAACGCGTGCCCAGCGCGCAGACGAAATGGTGGAAGATGATCACCTCGGAGTCCATGAACGACGAGGACAGCCGCAACTCGCGGTTGTTCCGGCGGCGCTACCGCGTGCGCTTCTCGAGGTTCAAGTCGCTCGTGGAGGACACGAAGAGCTGGCTGAAGCCGGACGGGTCGCCGGTCTTCGCGCGGTTGTCCGCGGCGGGCATCGACGACGCGAAAACGGTGTTCGTCGAGATCAAGGTCATGATCGTCCTGCGGTGGCTGGCCACGGGCGCGAGCTTCGACCTCATCGGCGAGCTCTCCGAGACGGGCGAGACGACGGCGCGGGTCACCTGCATCACCTGGGTCACGGAGTTCGCGCGCAGGAGGTGGACCGACTTCGTGTATCCGCCGGAGGGCGAGGAGCTCAAGAAGGTCATGAAGGTGTTCGACAGGCTCGGCATCACGGGCGCAGCGTTCTCCATGGACGCCGTCCACGTCCACTGGGCCCGGTGCCCGGTTACACGCTCAAACTTTTGCACCGGTAAAGAAGGATACCCCACTTTGGCGTTCAACGTCGCCGTCACTCACTCGAAGAGAATCATCGCGGCGACCTCGGCGCAGTACGGCGCTCGCAACGACAAGACCCTGGTGAAGTATGACGCCTTTATAGACGACGTGCGGTCCGGAAAATCGCTCAAAACTCAGCCTTTTAGACTCCGAAAGAAGGATGGGACATGTTCGGAGGAGACGAAAGCCTACGGAATCTGTGATGGCGGCTACCATCGATGGGCCTGCTTGCAAGCCGTCGAAAAACTCGCCTCGGATCACGATGGAGCCGGGTTCTGCAAGAGGATCGAGAGCGTGAGGAAAGACGTGGAGAACGTCTTCGGAATCATGAAGATGCGGTCCCGGGTCCTCTTCGGCAAGTTCCTCCTCCTCGACCAGAAGGTCGTTTCCGACGTCTTCCACAGCTGCTGCATCATCCACAACATGTGCCAGATCGACGAGGGCTGGGACGCACGAGGCGAGGACGAGCGGTTTTGGTCCCGAGAAGCCCCCGACTCGGTTGCCAGCCCGTTCTACGAGCTCGACGACGAGATCATCGCGCCGGAAACCGTCGACGACCACACGTTCGTCGGCGCGCCGGAGGTGCCCGGGGCACCCGAGGTCACACTCATCCAGGAGGTGGAATCGGAGTATCATGACCTCCGGAAGAGGATCGTCGAGAACTTCGCGGTCAAGAGGGACGAACGGTCCCTGCAGTGGATGCGCTGACCCCCCCGGCCGCCCCCTAGACTCAGCGTAAGCGTCCCTCGGGGCCTCGCCGTCGGGCGCGCGCGCGCGCGTCGCCGCTGCAACCTTCAACACCGAATGCTTGAACCATGCTCTCCGAGGCGGTCGACATGCGCTTCGGCCGTCGTCGACGTCTTGCAATTCGTCATGCACTGCGTCGCGTCGTCCTCGTCGTCGAGGACGCGCCGCAGCAGCTGCGCCGCGGCGTCCTGGCTGGCGAGCTCGTCGCGCGCGGGCGACGGCGTCGGCGACCGCGGCGCCGGCGGCGCGAGTTTGGACCTCGACGTCGTCGCGGTCCACCGTCCACGCGCACCTCGAGGCGCTGGACCACGGCGCCGTCGACACCCTCGCGCGGGGCTAGCGGCTCGCGCCCGTCGCGCCAGGGCGCCGGCTGGAACGCGCGCGCGGGCCGCGACGGGTGCACGCGCTGCTGCGGCGGCGGCGCGAACGCGTCGCTCCCCTACGGCGACGCGCACGCGCCCCGTCGACGCGCTGCGGGATCGACGCGCATGGCGAGCGCCTCGCGGCCCCGCGCGACCGTCGTCTTCACGGAGAACGGCGTCGCGGGCCCGCGGAGCGCTTCGACGCGTCCGCCGCGCGCCGCGCCGCGTCGCGACGCTGTCGGCGTGCGACGACTTCGAGGCGACGGTCGACGTGGGCGTCTCGCGGACGACGAAGCGCGACGACGGCGCGGCGTCGACGACCGAGGCCGACGCGGCCGACGAGCGACGACGCTTTGCCGCTTGTCGGCGCGTAGGTCGGCGCGTAGGCCATGTGTAGTCACTAACGGTTATGATGTCTGGAGTGCGCCTAGGCGTCGAGGGCGACTTTCGGGTGTCGCGCACCTCGTCGTCGGCGTCGGAGTCGAGGGCTAAAAAAGATAGGACACACTTTTTAGTCATTTTTTTCGTAAACTCAAAAAACGACGTAAAAAGAGTGTCCTACCGTTTTTTCTCTGAAAAAAACCGTTTGGTGTAACCCGCAAAGGCAAATAAATCGGCCTTCGCGAGCCTATAACCCGCATCAACTTTACTTCAAGTTGAGGCTGTAACCCGCACTCGGCCGATCCCTAAATCCGAACCCGCAAATTTTTTTTTACATAGAATTTTTGTGAATTTCCCAGATAATCTGCTCGAAGTTGCTCTGCTTCTTCAAGAGATACATTTTCGTTAGTATTATCTTCCTCATAATAGATATTTACCAGTTGTTCACCGTCATCATGGAAAAATGTCTTTTGAATTTCTCCAATAAAAGGTTTTTTTCTAATTTCCGGAAACTGCTTTCTAATCTTATCACCTTTTTTTAAGTTGAATTTAAGTCTTTCAGATTTCCTTTGCCTTACCATTGTATCTTTGGACACATCTTTATCACCTTTTACTATATCAAATATCTCTGTCAAAGACATTCTTACTCTTTCACTTCCACGTCCAATTACTTCCTTTCCAAATTTCTTCTTAAAGTAAGCCTTCATTTTTTCTTCTATTTTATTAACCCCTGATTTTGACAGTTTCATAGCTGAACCCTCTGAAGGTCTAACATATCTCGTATATCCTACATAATGAACTTTTGCACCTTTGTATCTATTTTGTTTGTCATTGAACCCGTAGGTGATTTGATAGTCTTTCAGTCTGTTCATGCTTGTATTACCTTCTCCTCCACTTGAGACTCCAATCTTTTTAATATCTGGATCTAAATTACTGGACACTATATAGAAGATCCTCGTATTGAAAAGTTTCGTTTGATAGTCAGCTGATTTTAACACAGCATCCAAATCTTTCCCCCGTTCACTAACAAATAATTGTTTTAATCCTTCTATCATTATTATTACTATCCTATTATTAATTAGGAAGAGGCTCACGGTGCATAGGAAAGATAGTTGAACCGCTAAGACCTAAAAAGGGTATGCCGAAACATACCTCTGGTGTGATGGAATTCATTTAAACTTCTGCCTCATCATCCGAGTCTTCCTCATCATAATATCCAATAGATACAATCTATTCATTCGAGTCCGAGTCAGATTCAGACTCTTCCGCGACTTCCGCATCTTCCGCGTCTTCCGCATCACTATCGTCCGCAGATTTGAGGGGACTTTCCACCGCGAAATTTTCAGCATCATCATCTGGTTCATCAGTCTTACGCTTCTTTGACTTTGGAGTATTGAGATTCAGTTTACTTTCCAGTTTCAGTTTATCTTTAGCCAGTTCTTTAGATTTCTGAGCCAAGTTGTCCCTCATAGTCAAAGACTTCTTCAGTTGAGTGGTGGCTTTAGCAAATTTGATATTCAGTTCATTGCTTTGAGTTTGATACTGATTGAATTCATCTTCATCATCCATATTGAACAGCTTCAATTTCCCAATCTGCTTTTTGACTGATTTGATAGTGTTCTGGCATTTATCAACCCGTTCTGTAGCACTTTTTAGTTTATCAGTGGTGGTCTCTATGTCTCCAATGACTTTCTTTAGATCAGATTTCATTCCAGCATCGCGAGATCTCTTCAATCCAGACGCGAGTTTCATAGCAACCGGTTTGATCTTTGATAAAACACTTTCAACATCGTCAGCATCAGATGCTTCATAGTCGTTAACCTCAGCCTCCCATAACATCTCCAAACGAAGTCCATTTCCAGCATCAGCCTTGTTTACGACGAGTGCTCGTTTAGCCATATGCTCAATCGATATGCCGGCACGAAGTAGTGCTAAACAGAACTTGTTATTCGTCTGGAACTTATATTCCACGTCCTTCAGCCGTTCTGTGAGATGGAAGAGGCACTCGAAAAGCTCCTTCTGTGACATGCCTTTAAAGGCATGCTTTATCGTTGCCATCGTGGCTTTTCCCGTAATTATCGGGAACTAAAGAACTTTCTTCAGTATTCTCTTTATCGCTCTCTTTAGTTCTTGGAACACTCTTTATCGCCCGTCACAGGGATCTCTATCACAGATTCCAAACACACATCTCAAATGGAGTTTTGCAATGAGCCTACCGAGCATACCGAGCATACCGACACCGAACCTCAGCCCGACCCCTTTGATAAGATTGACACCACAGCTGACTGTCTCGAGTGTGGTAAGAAGTTCTGCCATTGGCAAATGCTCACGACGTTCAGTGAGGATAAACTGAATTTACTTCCCGATGAGTTCTATCACTATGACAGTGATAAGTGCTATGAGACTGCACAGCAGTATTGCATTCCTTGTGCTACAAAGCTTATAGCCGAAGCAGAGGCGGAGGCGGAAGCGGAAGCGGAACGCGTCAAGGAAGCGGAACGCGTCAAAGCGGAAGCTGAGGCTGAACTATGCTCTTGTGATTTCTGTGAAGGTAAGCCTGTTGGAACTGATGAATTCCCATACACAGGTTGCATCAAAGAAGTTGAAAAAGACACTGCGCAAGTGGAAAAAGTGGAACAAGACAGTGAAGAGGACAGTGAAGATGATGTTTCTTGCTATTGGAAACAGGGAGCTTTAAAGCATGTTGAGCGCATGCAGGCTGAAATAGACCTTCCTGACAATATGAGTGATCATGACGCTTTTGCGGAGTGGTTGAAAAACTCAGGCTTGGAATTGGACCACGCTCCAAATGAAGACCAACTTACTTACCTAAATCTAATATGGTCCGAGGAAACTGGAGTTACAGAAGAGGGCAACCTTGGTTTTCAGGGGTATTTATGTTTCTTGGACCACGACCTTACCCAAGTTGATGATAAACTGATTGGTGGCTTACAAGAATTGGAAAGCGGCTTTAGTCATCTTGAAATGTGTCAAGAAGTTATTGATATCAACAACAAGCTGAAGCAAGGCTCATTTGATCTAAACACTTGGCTCGATGAAATTAAAGACAGTGATGAAAACTCTAAAGACAGTGAAGAAACCTCTCAAGAACTTCCTGATATCTGTATGTTCTGCGATAAACGCTTTGATTTCCAGTGGACTATCAGAAAGAATCCAAAACTGTATAATTGGTATATCTTTGAAGGACACGACGTTGATGAAGGTGATTTATGCTTTGACTGTTGTGAGAAGCATTACGATGAATGGAAAAAAACCAATTGCCCTGATATTTGAGGGGTGTTGTCATATTTCATCAAGATTGAAAAAAGACATCATGAATACGGCGCATCTGCGACGCTTGTTTTGTTCTTGAACAGAACTATTGAATACAACATTGGAAACATGTTATGAAGTTACCCCCAATCACTAACCCCCCTCCCCAATCACCGCGGACCATCACACACTATCCGCGCGCGTGTAAAAAAAAATTTGCGGGTTCGGATTTAGGGATCGGCCGAGTGCGGGTTACAGCCTCAACTTGAAGTAAAGTTGATGCGGGTTATAGGCTCGCGAAGGCCGATTTATTTGCCTTTGCGGGTTACACCAAACGGTTTTTTTCAGAGAAAAAACGGTAGGACACTCTTTTTACGTCGTTTTTTGAGTTTACGAAAAAAATGACTAAAAAGTGTGTCCTATCTTTTTTACTACATCATCGGTAGGCGACGTCCCAGTGGATTTCCAACTGCCGCGGCAGGGAGGCGCGCGGCGCGGCGGTCACGATGACGGTGGCGACGACCTGGTAGTCCTTCCCGGGCCGCCAGGGGACGCCACCCCGCACGCGGCGCGCGAGGCGTCGCAGCTGCGGCGATCGTTCTTCAAATCGGACCTCGGCGCGACGACCGCGATGAGCAGGTGCGAGCATTCGTTAAAACTCTCAAAAAAAGAAGTCATCGCCATTGGGCCGCCCCGCGCCCCTGCGCGCGAGAACCCCGCCGGCATAGACGCCGGAGAACGTGTCGGAACAACCGCGCGTCGCCGCAGTGGCGCCAGTCCTCGACCAGACGCCTACCGCGTGGCAGCCCGACCCGCGCCGCCGCCGCCGCCCACGGCCCGACGAGGGCTGCCCAGCGCGCACCGCACGCCGCGGGCGCCACGCCAGGGCCGCGACGAGCGCGACCGGAAGCCGGCATGCCGTCCGGCGCAGCCTCTGGGCCGGGCCATAGCATCGGAAATCGGTGCAGTAATAGCAACGTCCGATCGGGTGGCCAGAAACAAGCCTGCGCGTTTGTTTGACTCCGTTGCACTTTAATTTCGCCGCTCACAGGCCTAAACTCGCCTAGCGCTCACAGTGCACCAGCAAGCCCGGGCGATGGGCAGCCCGTGATTTGCGAGGGCGCGCGCGCCGTCTTCCGGTCCGAGTTGGGCTGCGCCCCGCTAGCGCGCGCTGCGCCATAAGGTGAGCTCCCCCGATCCAACTTCCCCGACGCTGCGCGCGCGCGTCTTCGGGGCGAACGCGTCGTCGCCGTCCGGGCGATGATGGCACCTCGAGGGGCGATAAGTCGGCTCTGGGGCAAGAAAAACACGGCCGCGCGCGGGGAATCCCATGCTGACATGTGCCGCTCGCAGGCCCCCGCGCGCGGCCGTGTTTTTATGTCGAAGCGGACCCGCGCGTCCGCGGGCTCCTACGAGACCGTCGTCGAGGCGTTGAATTTCTTCCAGGGCCAGCTGTTGTGCTCGCGCGCGAAGGTCTCCAGCACGGGCCAGGGCCGCTACGCACCGGACGCCATCGGCATCGAGGCGGACACGTGGAAGAAGCACTGGAGCGCCGTGAAGCAGGACCCGCGGTTCACGCGCGTCGGCATGGGCACGATGGACTCCGACGGGCTCTTCAAGGGCGGCACCTGGTTCTACTGGGGCAACGCGCCCGACAACCTCCTCTACACGGGCGAGCACGCGGCCCACGCGGACTGGGTCGACGTGGCCGCCATGCTCATGGCCTCGGGCCCCCCGCCGGCGCCCAATACGCGGCGGGCCGAGGCCTACGGCAAGCGCCACAACAAGGGCGTCGTCACGGCGCCCATGGAGCCCGTCGACACGGCGCCCGCGGAGCCCGTCGAGGACTCGTCGAGCGACGAGGAGGAGGACCCCGAGGTGGCGGCGGCCATGGCGCCGAAGACGCCCAAGACTCGCGCGCGCTACACGGCGCCGCCGCTCGCCGAGCAGCTCCCGCTGACGGCGGCCCTCCTGGGGCGGAACAAGAGGCTGCGGACGGCGACCCCGGACTTGAAGAAGCGCACGCACAAGGACGACGAGATGACGACGAGGCTCTTGGCTACCGATGAATGCATTCGAACAAACAACAAGGTCGACACCGGCGACCCCGACCAGGCCGCGTCGATGTTGCACACGCTCGCGTCGCACTACGACTGCCACCTGCAGCTCATGCAGCTCGGGGGCAAGGGCAAGTACCTCACGGCCCGCGACCTCATGAGCTACCGCTTCAAGCTGAAGCTCCGCATGGAGCGCCTCATGCCCCTCGTCAAGGGCTTGGCGAAGGACGACATGGCGTGCAAGTGGGACGACTTCACGGCGTTCTACGAGGGCTTGCCCTACGAGGAGCCCCAGATGCTCAAGGCCCTCTGCGGCGTCGACCTCGACGGCGGCGCGGCGCGCATGGTGGCCTACGACCAGGTGCTGGTCCGGCTCCTCGAGTCGCGCGTCGCGCACGAGCACGACATGTTCAACTTCGGCTTCCTCGACGCGGACGGCAAGCCCTACTGGCTCAGCTCCTTCGGCGCGGACAAGGCCAACGCCAACGCCACCACGGCCATCGAGCTGGGGCTCGCGCGGTGCCACAACTTCAAGCGCCACCTCAACGCGCCGTGGGCCGCGATCGTCACCTACATGGGCGCGCACGACGAGGGCTTACGGGAGCTGCGGACCTGGTTGACCGAGGCGACCAAGCCGATGGCCAAGCTCTGCAAGGACGGCCTCCAGTTCAGATGCCCCGGGGAGTCGGTCTGCAACGCGTGTGAGTACCCCTCGAAGTCGCCCGGCCGCGCGTCGATCGCGCGACCCCCCGCAGGCCGTGCGGGCGTTAAACTCGTCGACGGACGGCACGACGTCGATCACAAAATGGCGCTCGTCGCGGACCAGCTCTGGAGCCGGGGCGCCAAGGGCTTCAAGGTGGCCTGCTGCCAGGTCTGCGGCTACAACAGCGCTGAGAACCACGACGGAGACGACGCCGCCGCCGAACGGCCGAACTACGAGCTCGCGGACACGCTCAAGGCCAACGACTCGTTCTTCGCCTACTACGCGGAGTGGGAGAAGGACACGGGCGACGTGACCTTCGAGAAGTCGCGCTTCTACTCCGCGTTCCAGGCGGAGTACCCGGGCCGCGTCGGCCCCGACATGTTTCCTTTCATTCCGCCGCTCGCGTGCGTCGACGACCCCGTCCACCTGGGCCTGTCCTTGTGCGCCAAGGGCGCACGCGACACGGTCGTCGCCTTCGCCGTGCGGCTCGAGTCGCAGGACGGCACGGGCGTGACGAGGCTGCTCTCTGCGCTGCGCCTCGCCTCGCTCCCCGCGGTCCGCGGACCGTGCAAAAACTTAATAGAATTTCTTCAACTTAACAATTCAACATAAAGTCGGCGGCTAATGATGCGCCCTCATGCAGCCCGTCGGGCCATCGAATCGAGCGATGACAGGTCGCGCGGCGCATCGAGTACGCGCTGGCCGACTTCTCGGACTACCACAAGCGCGTGCGCAACGCGGAGGCGGGCGCCGCGGCGCCCATGGGCGAGCTCATCGAGAACTACGTGAAGCCGCTGAAGGTGGCGCGGCTCAAGCTCGAGGCGGAGGACCTGAACATAGACTCGACCGGCAGCAAGGAGGAGCTCAAGCACCGCGTTCTCGGCAAGCTCAAGGAGCGGGCGGCGTCGCTCGACCCGGCGGCGCTGGTCTTTGGCGACCGGCTGACGTACGCCGCCAGCGTCGCCGAGGTGACGCTCGGAGACGCGGCGCGGCACTGCGCCGCGTACAAAGTGACAGGCGCGCAGCTCACGGCCATCATCGGCAAGCGCCTGAAGCTCATCGGGCGGGAGGTAAGGATTCTTTTTAACACTCACAACCTCCTCATCAGGGCCATGGACCCGAGCAGCACGCTCATCTCCGAGAACCTCGACGCGGCGATCAAGGTGAAGGAGTCGGAGATGGACGAGCTCACGCGCCAGATCAAGGGCATGGAGGAGGACCGCCACGGCGGCGCGATGGACAAGGACGAGGCCATCGAGGAGGCCACGGCGAAGCTCGACGACATGATCGACGAGCTCGATTTGATGATCGTCGACCAGGGCACGGTGAACCGCGGCGAGCTGCCGCTGGACCCGCTCCTCGCCAGGTACGGCGAGTACTGGCGGCTGCTGGTCGCGGCCATCAAGCCCTGGGTCGCGCCGCCGGCGACGAGGCCCGAGAAGTTCGCGGCGCTCGAGGGCAACGAGGCCCGCGTCCAGGAATTCTTCACTTTGCATCGCGCGTTAGGGTTCAAAGAAAAGTCAAGCTATCTCCACGGGCTGGAGAAACACAGCACGGAGCGCATCAAGTTCTTCGAGAAGCATTTCCCCGGCCATCCTCCGCAGGAGTGTCACTGCCAGGTCCAGGAACACGCAAATAAGTTGGTCAAAAACGAGATTGCACCCTTCATCGGGAGCCTACGAAAACCGTGTCTGAAGAACTCGTTCTTTTACGTCATTCGAGAGTGGAGCATTCGCCTGCTTCATTTCCCGGAGACGATACACGTCCGGCGCCTGGAGAAGTGCGGCGCCTGCGGCGCCTTCGGGCACCGCCGCTCCTCACGGATCTGCGTGAAGTTCATGGACTACCTCAAGCTCTGCCGGGAGCGACTCATCCAGAAGGCTCGCGATGTCGTCGCGGACCTCTCCGCCGCTGACGAGTAAGTTTAGTTCGTTATAAGCCCCGAGGCGCGCGCGATGATCGTCGGCCTGAACTTCAAGAGTGGCGGTCCATCGCCGATGACTCCCGCGAGCGGCACGCCGGAGTCTCGGATCGTCGTCTCCTTGAAGAACGCGGTGACCAGCTTCGACTTCTCCCACGAGATGTGCGTCTTGGGGATGCACCCGAAGTGGCCCTGGAGCTTGAGGCCCCAGAGCGTGCGCGTCTCCGCGGGCGGGCTCGTCGCGTAGCCGGCCTCGGCGAACGCGTAGAAGTACTCGAGCTGGTCGTCCGTGGTCCCCTCGTCGAGCAAGTAGATCCACGTGTCCCTGGCGTCCGCCGCGAGCGACAGGGCGACCTCTGAGACCAGGAGGCTCTCCGCGCCGATGATCGCGCGCGTCGCGTCCAAGGGCACCAAGCCCTGCTTCGCACAGGCCTCGTGCCACGCCGTCTGCGCGTCGTCGTCGCCGAGGCCCTTCTTGAGCACGCCCGTGGGGATGACGCCGACGCAGAGCTTCTCGTCGAACCCGTGCTTCGTGAAGACCGCGCCCTCCGCGCCGATGTACTCCGCCCACTGCTTGAGCGTCGTGAACGAGTACGAGATGGTCCTCCGGCGGACCGCGACGTCGCCCGAGTAGGTCTGCTGCTTCTTCGGGTTCTTCGCGACGAGCTCGTCGCGCGAGGCGCGCGCCGACATGAAGAGCAGGTCGAACTCGTCGGCGGTCTTGACCTCGAGCTTGACTTCGCGCATCAACGTCGCGTCCAGCCCGGAGATGCCCCGCGGGACCTGCTTGCGCAGGACCCCGCGCAAGAGGAACAGCGCCTGGCGCGCGTTGTGCAGCGCGTGGACGCCCTTGAAGAGGAAGGAGCACTCGCCCTCGAGCGTGTCCGGCGCGTTGTCGTCCTACTTGACGTACTCGAGCAGCGTCTTCTGCTCCGCCGGCGCGTCCCCGTCGTCCCACACGAAGAGGCCATACTCCGGCTCAATCATCCTCGAGAACGTGCCCGAGATCATCTGATTGTGCCACGTGCTGGGGAACGTTTGCTTCGCCCACCCCTGCCCGAAGGTCCACGCCGGGACCCGCGCCGACGCCCCGCGGATGTACTTCTTCGGCCGCTCCTCGACGTCCGCCGCGAGCTCCACGTTCGCGCCGACCATGGAGGGCATGTCGCCGGGCTCGAAGATGGGCAGCGGGTCCATTGGGGCTGGCCCAGGCGCCGCGACGGGGGCTGCCATTCGAACGCGGGCCCGCCCGCCCGGCGCTTGCTGGTGCGCTCTATTTTAGGCCTGTGGCTCGGCCCAGGCCAAAACACCGAGCATCACACCCGAAAACACGCGGACCGAGGGTCACACTGGGCATCACACCAACACACCTGGGCATCACACCTGAGCATCACCCGTCCCTAGTTTGCCCCAGGCTTAAAATTCATGTCCTCTCTTTTTAATTCACGGGCCGTGCTGAGCTTGCGGCGACCGCCGTCGGAAGCGGCTGCTGGACCAAGTAAGCAAAATCATACCGATGGCGACGCGCAGTGGGAAATTCCAGAGTGCTGGCAGGACGAAAATCATTGATCGTCCAGAAAAATGTTCGATGCGCGCATTGAGCGGCCGTCCTTCGCTAAACATGTCCCGCCGGCGGGATATGCTAAGGAGCTCCGCGGCGACAGGAGGGGGGGGGGGGGTGAGGGAAGGCAAGATTGTGAATAAGGCTCTCAACTTTCTGAAACGTCAGATCATCAGAGGCCGCCAATCAGCTTTGTTAATCCACTTTCGCAGCTTGAAGGAACCACAGTCCCATGACACCACTGCGTTCTTTAACGGTCCGGTTGTAGTACACAACTGTGCGTAGGGGGTGGTCTTTCGGAAATCGAGGTGGAGTTGATGCTCCTCCCCAGACGCACGGCTCGATACCGACAAGCCAACCCATCTCATCACCTGGTAGGTCAGATGTTCCATACTGCAGCTTTCCTGAAGCAATGTCAGCTCTGCATAACAAGTCTCCAGTGAGCTCGTCGTAAAGTTCGAGGGCCACAACACCGGTGTGACCATGAGCCACTGCATGTACGAGCTCAACATCACCGTCGTACAGGACCGGGCCCGGATTGATTGGTTGGACGTTCGAGAAGACGTGTAGAGGGCATTCAGGGTCGGTGCACGAGGGAACCGTGTACTCCGCATTTCCTTGAGTTCGGGGCAACAACTGGTCATCATAGTTGGCAGTCACGTCACAGCACCCCATAGGGAACAAGGGCTTCGTATTTTCTTTAGTAGAATGGAATGTGAAAGTGAATTTGCCACGTACAGAGACAGTCGCGGGGCTGAGTTTGTTCTTTGGGTCTATGTCTAAGAATGTACCATTCTTACAGCACCGATATCCAGACTTGTATGTTTCCAGTTGGCAGGATGGGTTCTTGGTGGCATTCATTAGCGCATTGCACGAGAAGGGTGGAGAAGGCATACATCCATCGATTGTGCCGTTGCTGAAGTTGAAGTGGCGGTCGGACGTGCATGGGCACTCGATAAGTGGGGAGTACGTAGAAGAAATAGCCGTTGAGGTGTAACCTTTGATATTTATTAGATGCATGTTTGCCAAAATACTGTGCGGGCGATACGTGACTATACCGTATGGTTCTGGAAAATCGTGCGGGTTGTGTCGCATCTCACCCCCGGTAGCGCCTCCATACAATGATGGGCTGCTTGCACCACTGAATACCTCAGGATACACATCTCGTAGTGCTTGCTGGCAAATCTGCGCATGACCAGGGCCCATGTAGTCGCAGTGCTGCAGGGGGTGTGCATCCCTCCAACAGGGTATCCCACCAATACCGTCAAGGCCTCTCGTATGCACTGCTGAGTAATAAGCGTCCATCTCCTCACGTGTCCCGAGGTATAGCGCGAAGTGATGGTTATAGACTTCAAATAGGGGAACCGAGACATCATTTTGGTCAGTATTATTGTTAGGTGAGTGCGAATGTACTATGTCGGTTGTGAAATTCGTAACAACCATACCAGATTGATTATCGGAAAACATATCGATAACCCAGCTGGGCAGTGGCACAGGTTTCATGAAACCATTATGAACTTCGCTTGGACGAAGTCGTACTTCTTCGGAATACACTGTAAATTTTAAACCTACACATGACGAAAAAATCGATACAAAGGAGATAATGAAGAAATTGATGGCCATGAGGAAGGGCAGAGAACCGGGTGGGAAGAAAAGTACGAGATATAGGATGATATTAAGGAATGATACAAGATATAGAATGATATAGTTGGATTAGGAGCTGGGTGTTGCCTTCAACATGGGCTCCACCCAGCTCGGGAACTGGCCTAGTTTAGGACCCCCAGGGAAAAAAAGGGCCGGTTGGATAGGTGAAGATTTTCCTGGGGTGCGCTCAGGCGCACAATAGAGGGAGAAGCCACATAATTTCACCAAG